GGAGGAGGAGGAGGAGGGGGGAGAAAAAGACGAAGTTTATAGGCCTGGCAACAGACAAGTGCTGAGACTCACACACAAGTTCCGAGACTCACACACAAGTGCCGAGTTTCACACACAAATGCCGAGATTCACACACAAGTGCCGAGACTCACACACAAGTGCCTTGACTCACATACAAGAGCCAAGACTCACACACAAGAGCCAAGACTCACACACAAGTGCCGAGACTCACACACAAGTGCCGAGACTCACACTCAAATGCTGAGACGCAAAAGTGCTGAGACTTACACACAAGAGCCGAGACTCACAAACAAGTGCCTTGACTCACATCCAAGTGCCGAGACTCACACACAAGTGCCGAGACTCACACACAAGTGCCGAGACTCACACACAAGTGCTGAGACGCAAAAGTGCCGAGACTTACACACAAGTGCCGAGACTCACATTCAAGTCCCGAGACTCACACACAAGTGTTGAGACGCAAAAGTGCCGAGACTTACACACAAGTGCCGAGACTCACAAACAAGTGCCGAGACTCACATTCAAGTGCCGAGACTCACACACAAGTTCCGAGACTCACACACAAATGCCGAGATTCACACACAAGTGCCGAGACTCACACACAAGTGCCTTGACTCACATACAAGAGCCAAGACTCACACACAAGAGCCAAGACTCACACACAAGTGCCGAGACTCACACACAAGTGCCGAGACTCACACTCAAATGCTGAGACGCAAAAGTGCCGAGACTCACACACAAGTGCTGAGACTCACACACAAGTGCTGAGACGCAAAAGTGCCGAGACTTACACACAAGTGCCGAGACTCACATTCAAGTCCCGAGACTCACACACAAGTGCTGAGACGCAAAAGTGCTGAGACTTACACACAAGTGCCGAGACTCACAAACAAGTGCCGAGACTCACATTCAAGTGCCGAGACTCACACACAAGTGCTGAGACTTACGCAAAAGTACCGAGACTCACACACAAGTGCCGAGACTCACACACAAGTGCCTTGACTCACATACAAGAGCCAAGACTCACACACAAGAGCCAAGACTCACACACAAGTGCCGAGACTCACACACAAGTGCCGAGACTCACACTCAAATGCTGAGACGCAAAAGTGCCGAGACTTACACAAAAGTGCCGAGACTCACAAGCAAGTGCGATATTTAACATTGAGGGAAAAACACACTGCATTTTAATCTGGTTTTAACTGGTATTACTGTCGACTCTTCGTTAGCTAACACGGAGGGAGACGGAGCTAGTGTGGTAATGCCCCGTGTGCAGTGAAGTCTGTTCATTCAATTATTCATTCATTCATTCATTCAATTCATTGCATCATATAGAAAAAGACTAATATATCACATGAAGACTTGCAGACAGTGGGTCCGAGTTATGAATAGGCGTGCCCTGTAATATGTCTTATCTAGACTTTATCTATCACCGGAGGCGAAGGCGAGACATCATTCTTATGAAATCCCCGAAACTTGTCCAGAAAATTCGTTGACATGTGTCCAGATCCAGACTTAGCAACACCTTCCATCACCGTCCGAGACCGGAAGTGCAATCACTGAATCGTGGGGACATAATGGTTTTCAAATTTTCTCTGATTTATTTTCAAATTCCCCCCCCCCCCTCTTCCTATTTCTGTGCTTCTTTTATTTGTCTGTCTCCGTGGCTGCCGCCTGTCCAGACAGATTAGGGCGCCATTTTGTGAGCTGAGGTTTGATATATGGCTGCTATCGTCTGCCCTTTTTTAAGAGGTTGAACACTCACCAATGGGAGACATTATAAACGAACGAACGAAAGTCATTTTCTAAGGGTCATAAACTGGGCTCATGCAGAACCCATTTTATATTCTGCCCTCCGAAACACTCATTCAGCAATATAAAAACTGGGTGTATCAAGTCAAACACAACGTTAACGCATACATTCAACCATACAATCATAAAAACACGCACATATGTATCATAGCTGCTAACGTAACTACCTCCCCACCCCCCCCCCCCTTTACACACACACCTACCCACCCACCCACACACACAACACACACAGCAGAGACACGGACGCACTTACAATCGCACTTTATACACCCCAACTATATACTTTCATGTACACACATTTACACTCCTTTACAAACACACGTTCACGCCCTTACATGCGTACCACGCAGTGGTTAGTACGGGTTCCACTAATTCAAACTCTCCCTTTCTCTTTCTCTTTCTCTCTCTCTCTCTCTCATTCTCTCTCTCTCTCTCTCTCATTCTCTCTCTCTGTGCGAGTGTGTGTGTGTGTGTGTGTGTGTGTGTGTGTGTGTGAGAGAGAGAGACTTGACACAACCTGCGCGATTGTCCGTCTTTTCACTTTTCTAGCCCTTTGCTTGTCCCCCCCCCCCCCCCCCCCCCCTAATTGTATCCCCTGTTTATTTTTTTTTCAACATTTATTATGCCCACCCATTATTTCTTTGTCCGTTCATTTGTGTCACACATTGTATTATGTGCATACAAGTCAGGACTCTACCAAGGAACTGCACAAAAAGGCAACAGCAGCAGACAAAGGACTAATGCTAGAGGCAGATTCCCAAACTCATTACAATGCGTGAACTGTCATGTGTTCGGCAATGCAAAGCTAGAATGCCAAGAGAATGAAACGAAATGAAGAAACTGCGTGAAGTTGACGCATGCAAGCTCATATCTCCTAAGACAGCAGGCGATTGGATAAAAATAAATATCCTGAAGTTTCTGCGAACCTTGCAGGCCATTTGCATTTGTTAAACCTCAGCAGAAAAAAAGGAAAAATAACGCATCTTCAATAAAACTCCTCAGATGAGACCAGAACTCTCATTTCATTGGTCTCGAGGCCTAAACTTCTAATCAGTCGCTTTTCTCCTTCGGCAAAATGAAAATTAAAAAGAAAAAAGCAAAGCACATTTTAGACGTGGTTTTAGGAAAGTTGAGAATAAGAGGAATACCATGAAAAATGAAGTCTGGTTGCCAAGGAAAGACAGATCTGCTTGCTATTTGTGTTGCTAATAAGGGGGATAATTTTCGCCAATACGATTAAAATGAATAATAAATAAATGAGTATTTCTGACAACAGAAGTTATTTTTTAGCATGGGCGCAACCAGAAAGAAATCAATGTGGGTGGGGTTGTTCGTCCACTTTTGGAAATTTAGATTTGTCCCAGCTTTTGCTTCACGTTATTATTATTATTGCGCACTTAAACAAAGCTTAACTTTTTTTGACTCCCACTACCTAGAAAAATATCAACTAGATCTGTAAAACGCACGTGCACTCAACACTGAAGTTTTGGAACAAGACTAACGTGTAGAGAGGTGGACATACAATCATAACTTTTCGCCACTTTACAGCCGGAGAACACACACAAAATATGCACAATACACGTAAAGATGTCGACAAGGGGCCTTTACTGTTAATGTTATTTTCCATTGCAATTTTCGTTTCTTTCCCCGCTGTTATTTTCATTGATCTACAAATATCATTGCATTCTACGAATACCCCTCGCTGTGTATTAAATTGATCACTCAAGTTATTTTTTTCTTTTATCTCAGTGACGTAATGCATTCTCAGCATACGATACTTCGTATGTAAGTGTGGATAAGCAGCTGAGATAACAACGGACATTTATAATTGGGTGTGCTCCGTTTTGTCTGCACCGGTTCATCCGCTCTCTGGAAAATAGTCGAATACAGTCAGCCTTGACTTCTGGAATTGATGATTTTATTTATCGATACTGGTTATTTAATTAGACGCATGTCTGTGTCTGTCAGCTAAAATGTCTATCTTTCTGCATATAAGTTTATTAATAGATCTATCTATATATTTCTATCTATCTATCTATCTATCTATCTATCTATCTATCTATCTATCTATCTATCTATCTATCTATCTATCTATCTATCTATCTATCTATCTATCTATCTATCTATCTATCTATCTATCTATCTATCTATCTATCTATCTATCTATCTATCTATCTATCTATCTATCTATCTATCTATCTATCTATCTATCTATCTATCTATCTATCTATCTATCTATCTATCTATCTATCTATCTATCTATCTATCTATCTATCTATCTATCTATCTATCTATCTATCTATCTATCTATCTATCTATCTATCTATCTATCTATCTATCTATCTATCTATCTATCTATCTATCTATCTATCTATCTATCTATCTATCTATCTATCTATCTATCTATCTATCTATCTATCTATCTATCTATCTATCTATCTATCTATCTATCTATCTATCTATCTATCTATCTATCTATCTATCTATCTATCTATCTATCAATCTATCTATCTATCTATCTACCTCTCTATCTGTCTGTCTGTCTGTCTGTCTGTCTGTCTGTCTGTCTGTCTGTCTGTCTGTCTGTCTGTCTGTCTGTCTGTCTGTCTGTCTGTCTGTCTGTCTGTCTGTCTGTCTATCGATCTGTCTGTCTGTCTGTCTGTCTGTCTGTCTGTCTGTCTGTCTGTCTGTCTGTCTGTCTGTCTGTCTGTCTGTCTGTCCGTCTGTCCGTCCGTCCGTCCGTCCGTCCGTCCATCCGTCCATCTATCTATCTATCTATCTATCTATCTATCTATCTATCTATCTATCTATCTATCTATCTATCTATCTATCTATCTATCTATCTATCTATCTATCTATCTATCTATCTATCTATCTATCTATCTATCTATCTATCTATCTATCTATCTATCTATCTATCTATCTATCTATCTATCTATCTATCTATCTGTCTATCTATCTGTCTGTCTGTCTGTCTGTCTGTCTGTCTGTCTGTCTGTCTGTCTGTCTGTCTGTCTGTCTGTCTGTCTGTCTGTCTGTCTGTCTGTCTGTCTGTCTGTCTGTCTGTCTGTCTGAATAAACCCAAAAAACCATTCGCAAACACTCGAGGACACACGGGTCACATCCACACATTGAGCAACTCACAAGTCTAGAGTGGTCTGCTTGCGTCAAGGGATGTCATCGTCTTCCTCCCATGGCGGGGCTGTCGGCAACATGTTGTGTAGGCACAGGTCCGAGAGGAACACCTCGCTGTCGTAGTTGGCGGAGAAGAATGGGAAGGGGAAGTTACCATCTTCAGGGGAGAGAAGCGGGTGGCAAGTGACCTTGTGTTGGTGGTCTTTCAAGGCAACTGTGCCGATAACTATATCTACGGGTAGTTTCACTTTGCGGGCAATTCCACTGGGTTTGATACACAGCTATGGAGCGAATATAGTAGAAAGCAGTGAGTGATCAATGACATAAGAAAAGTTACAGAAAAAAAATGTATTAAATAATAGCTACATAACCCTATTTCTCTTTCTCACCAAATTGATATTTTTTTTTTAGTTCTGACCATTGCCTGTCACAAATTTGTCTGGTTAATATTCATTTCCTGTGTTCATTCGCGAATCAGATCTTCAACTGGTCAGACATACATATGAGATGAGTTATGAGTCAAATTATCTTCATAACACTCCAGTCACATCAATATGCGCTCAGATTCCCCTCTCAACATATTCATCAGCGTCGCGTGGTTAACAGTTAAAGTCCCCCCCCCCCCCCTTTTTTTTTTTACAAGAATTCGTGTGCCTCCGGTGTGCTTTTCATGCTTAGCTGTGCCGATCCTAACTCAAAATGCTCGTATTTTTAGCAGTGGTGTGGACACCATGCTTCCAAAATCCTCACAATGTCCTATCTCTCAGAGGGCAATGACAATGTCTGCATGATCCATAGTCCGGCCATCTTCAATTAATGCAGCACCTGCCAATCTATCAGCTCTTTACTTATCCATACATATGGATTTCTCTTGTGGGGAAATTAGGTTAAGTGATTTTGTATATCCCTGTTTGTAATTGCAGCATTGTCTCTTCATGTAATGTGCCGATGAAAGAGGCATTACATAAAAATAATGCAATATTAAAAACACAAGCTTCAGAACTAGCAAAAGACAGGAAGCTACATGCAACTCTTGTCGAGGCTTAACAACACAAGCAGTGGGAAAGAAGAAGAAAGAAGAAGAAGAAGAAGAAGAAGAAGAAGAAGAAGAAGAAGAAGAAGAAGAAGAAGAAGAAGAAGAAGAAGAAGAAGAAGAAGAAGAAGAAGAAGAAGAAGAAGAAGAAGAAGAAGAAGAAGAAGAAGAAGGAGAAGAAGAAGAAGAGGAAGAAGAAGAGGAGGAAAAAGAAGAAGAAGAAGAAGAAGGAGAAGAAGAAGAAGAAGAAGAAGAAGAAGAAGAAGAAGAAGAAGAAGAAGAAGAAGAAGAAGAAGAAGAAGAAGAAGAAGAAGAAGAAGAAGAAGAAGAAGAAGAAGAAGAAGAAGAAGAAGAAGAAGAAGAAGAAGAACAAGAAGAACAAGAACAAGAACAAGAATAAGAAGAAGAAACAAATGATTCTGACCTCTATACTATATTGTACGTCAATAATCTTACACCCTCGAAGGTGAGAGGGCGGCACAGTGGGCACACTCAACAACTCCCTGTTCCACGTCTGCTTGCCTCGGGGTGCGATGCGCCCTTTGTGGACAGTGACCAGTTTGGTGGATTCTGAGAACCTTCCTCGGTATGAGTAGTAGGTCACATTCTGGGAGATTAACAAAAGTGGAGATAATCAGTAACGAGAGAGTGAGAGAGAGAGAGAGAGAGAGAGAGAGAGAGAGAGAGAGAGAGAGAGAGAGAGAGAGAGAGAGAGAGAGCGAGAGAGAGAGAGAGAGCAGGGAGAGAGAGAGAAAATGGGGATAGTGTAAAAAAATTTCTGATATTAAATTAAAGGTAGGTTATTTACATACATAGACAGTAATGGTGCATATCTACACCTATATTATTATCTAATTAAGGCTACAAAGATGCATAATGCATGTTTGGATGCGACCTGCATTTCTATGTGGGTGGATAAGTTCTAACTGTATTCCCGTATATTCTGGTACACTATTGTAAACTATATTATGAAGAAGAACAACCGACCCGGCTGCCTTAAGATACCAGCTAAGTGATTTTGTGTTTCTGTGTAGTATTGTTTCATATGTATGTGCTGATGAAGGCTCAATAGCCGCAACGTTCACGTTTTGTTTGTATTTGTTATATTGTGAAGCTTGTTTATATACTTTTTGTTCGGTTTTATCTCTTTTTTTGATATATCATGAAAAAAAGCTTCCAGTTTCGGACTGAAGTAAGTATGCAGGCTTTCCTCCCTACCCGATTTCCCAATAATATCACCATGGGAACTGGACTGCAGAGCTCTGCGCCTCCTTTCCTAACCCATAAATCAAGAGGGTATACAAGATTGGCAGTAGAAGGTCTTCTAGTTCTGCAGTGTTCAATGTTGGCCATCTGTCTCCGCCTGAGCCACAAACAGAACGGTGCACTTGAGGTCTACAGTGGTGTCCCTTTGTTTGTCCCACAAGGACGCTGGTCGAGTCAGACTGAGAGGTCAGGGAAATCCGATAATTTCAGGTCTTTTCAACTGGCGGCCCGCGGACCAGATCTAACTATGAGAGGCCCGCAGATCAAGATCACTGCTAAAATTGCCTTTATTATACCATTTTTCCGGTGTAGGCGGGGGGTGGGGGGGGGGGGGGGGGGTCTTTAAGCCTGAGGATTTAGGGCCTCATGGCTAGTGCTGTCGCCACGACTAGGATTCTATTTATTTTTCACAGACGCTCGGGGGCCCAGAGTTCTAACTGTTCGGCCAGCTGCTTCTCTAATGATGTGTTATGTTGGGACCCCGGTTTCTGGTCCACAACGATCCCATTGTCCGACATTTTAGCCCTGAATAAACTTAGTTGAAAAACTCTAAGTATAGAACATGATAGAAGAATGCTTAGAATACCTTGGACAGCCAAAAAGAGCAACCAAGAGGTTTTGAAAGAGGCGGGAGCCAGAAGACAACTTATCACAGACATCAGAAGGAGACAGTCATCATTTTTCGGCCATGTTATGAGAAGAGGGAAAATAGAACTTGCTGTGACCACTGGAAAGATCTATGGAAAGAGGGGTAGAGGAAGACAACGAGAGAAGATGCTTGACAGTCTTGTTGCATGACATGGAGGTGTTTCGGCACACGAACTGATACATGCTGCAAGAGATCGCAGATTGTGGAGAGGCATGATCGCCCACGCCAGTCAGCAAGGCACCTGATGATGATAGAACATGTTCTGGAATCAACTTTAGTGCTGCAGAACAAATGAGGGGCTGAGTCAGTGAGACACCTTCAAAGTTGGTGTGCTCTTCCATCGTTGAGGTACATTTGTATTAACAAGATCAGGGTTAAACAAGGTATTCACGGACTGGCTGTAGGCCTCTTCTGGCAATGTATCTCTGTAAATTTGGAGCATATTACTGTCAACCTGACAACAGCAGATGGAAGATGTAAAGACGTTGAATGTAGAATAGCTTAAGCGAAGGGGGCATTTCACAAAATGAACAATATTATGTGCAATCTTTATGTGTCACTCCAAGAACGGAGGAGAGTTCTTGGGAGCTGTATAAATTCAATCCTGATTTATTGAAGTGAAACATGGACAATAAGCCGTTTAGTGAAAAATGTTGTGAATGTAGCAGGGACGCTGTTTTATGGAAGGATCTGATTGCCTACATCAAAACAAGACAATCTACGGTCTTTCGTCTTGTCATGGGAAGCAGAACATTGGAGTATACCGTGAGGGTGAGCAAGTTGAGTTGAGTTGAGCGGAGTCAAGAATTGACATCACAGCACTCAGGGCATCCTCATGCCTGCTCCGTCCTCATCTTCAGCAGCCAGCGCAGAGCTGCAATACTGATGGTACCGGTCACAATCTGGTTATTTGTCCGTCTTGCCTTTCCTCTGAGTGGAGTGAGCCGACCAGGCCCTCTGGTTACATCCAGGTGCCTCATTCTCCCCAGGCCGTAATGATCTGAGGATGGGCAAGCTGGAGGGTAAAATATACATAGGAAGACTTAGAGAGGACATACTGGACAGTTCGACCTCAAGGCCTGGATCTTTATCTGTATCATTTCAGAAATGACTGAAAACTCTCGAGACAGAAGTTTGTGAACAGACATAACTATGCGGCGCAATGCAGTGAGTAAAAGAAGAAGATTGTAAACAGACTCCGGATTAGTGCTTACAGAAAACACACAAACACCCAACAACACACCCCCACAACGCCATCAATCTTAACTAGATATTTCCCTTCTCTCCCCACAATTCTTATTTATACAGTATAAATAATTAGTCTGCTTGGAAGCGCGCCATTTTCATGAATATATAATTAGAGTGGGTTCCCTCTAATTTAATTATAATTTCCATCCTGGCAATGCAAGAGAGGCACGCGTGCATTCACTTGTTTGAGACGTCTGCCAGATAATGCAAGACACTTTGCAGGTGTGAGCCAAACTAGTCGTAGTTTTGGAATGTTGCGAAATACTGAGACCATTGCATAGAATATAGGTTTTACGTGCTTTCAGTATTGACTAGCACTCATAAAAACTTGGTTTGAAGAGGGGCGCGTATAAGAAACAAGAAGATGACTTAAAAAAAATGAAAATCAGAGCAGTATGTATATATTCTTTTTACGATACCGCTGGCACATCATATCCAAACTGGCAAACGCCGAGTAGAATAGTCTGGCAGCATCCAGAAGTCTGCCCCAAGAAACTATAAAGACTGACATACCGGGACACACCAGGGTGCGCAAGGTGGCAAGCTTGTTTGTTTCGAGATGGTGACACTGGTGGATGCATTGGTGCACTCAGCGACGGCGGGCTGGACAACAAGATACACAACAAGGAAATGACATAAGGCTGTCAATTGGCACAAATACAGGCGTATGGACACGCCAAAATGGACAAAAAACTATTGGAAATCCCAAACAAATAAACGCAGTCCAAATATAACCGCCGCTCAATTTTGGAGCTGGTTAGGGCGACTAGAACTTTTTTTTTTTTTTTCAAACGAACTGGAACTGGAACACACCAGGGTGAAAGTAAACGAAAGAGCCGACAGACTGGCCGTGTCTGCAGCAGTGTTGCCACTTTGAATCTTTTATATCCAAATTTAGATCTTTTTCATTGCATTTAGATACTGTTTTTGACGTTTAGATCCTAAATATTTTTCTAGATACTTTTCATAAGGAGTTAGATATTTTATAGATTTCTTTTTCTTTTATTGTCAATTTAATAATTACTGTGTAAAATATTTACTACAATATTTTTGTTTTGGTCTGGCACGTACATTGTGACAACTGCCATTACTTGAACTTTGAACTCTCACTGGGGTCAACGCACAAATATCTGGCAGCCCAGGTACTGAATAATAAAAACGCGCGTAAATCATACTAACTTTGTTTCAACCGTATCCTCACTGTGCTGACTTTGCGCTTCTTTTTCATGTGTTTAAAAAAAAATAATTGCTCACCTTCTTATGTGGCTCTCACTTTGAAAAACCTTTCTACATGCCAAAAGTAAAGTAAGAGCAAAAAATTTGGAAAGAGTGGGTGCATGATGACAAAATTAAAAACCGTGGATGTGACCAAAGCTTGTTGTAAGTTCTGTAAGTGTGAAATTAAAGCGAAAATACAAAATTCAAAGAGTCATGCAGAGACTAAAAAAGCATAAAGGACATACCTAAATATTGTAAAGTTATGAAATTTTAGGGGCTACTGATAATAGTGTCGCGGAAGCAGAATATCAGTTAACCAAAATAAAGTTAGCTGAATGGTCAAACAAAACAGAAACTAAAGCGTTTTGGAGTGAAGTGAGACAATTTAAAGATGCCTCAACAAGTCCATTCTGTAAGCTCTTTAAAGTGCCATGTCTACCATGATACTACCCCACTCAAATGCTGACGTAGAAAGAGTTTTCAGTGCTAGGAATTATATCAAATATAACCTGAAAAACAGGATTAAATTTGACCTCTTAAATGCTATCGTGCCATTAAAATTCGGCCTGATGAGACTAGAGAAATAAGCCTACTGTTCCACTTATAAAGAAATTTGAACAGCTAAAGGGTCATTTTGGATCTGAAGCTTCAACTTCATTATCCAAGCTAAGTTTATCCTGTGGATCTTGTGAGGCAGACATCAGTGAAGTGAGGACATAATTATGTAGGGTAAGTCATAACAAAAGCTATGTAATTTTTGACTTTTTCAATTTGGATGTTTGTCTAGATCTTTTCCACGCAGATTTAGATCTTTTTAGATATTTTATGACACCGTTTTGGATATTTTTTGTCAAAGAAAAGTGGCAACACTGGTCTGCAGTAGTTGGTGGAGGAAGACGTATGGACAAGGCAGACATGCTCGATACGCTGCGTTTTAGAGACTTTGCGACAAGGGATCAGAGACGCGAACCATCTGTTGTAGCCAAGTGTCGTCTCAATGATACCAGTTTGTAGCCGGGTTTCGTGGTTTTGTCGTCTCACTAATGCTACGTTGTAGCCCAGTGTCGTAGTTTTGTCGTCTCACTGATACCAGGTTGTAGCCCAGTGTCGTGGTTTTGTCGTCTCACTGATACCAGATTGTAGCCCAGTGTCGTGGTTTTGTCGTCTCACTGATACCAGGTTGTAGCCCAGTGTCGTGGTTTTGTCGTCTCACTGATAACAGGTTG